GGAATTTTTCTAGTTTTCTTATAAATTAAAAAAAAATCCCAATTTTTCGGGACTGTTATACATTTAAATAAAAGTCCACGATTTTATTGAAAAAATATTATATATCGGTTCGGTACGATTAGGTTCCATCGGTTCGGTCGATTTTTTATATTCTTTTGACACCCCTAATAAACATCATCCTTAACAAAATTCTCTAAACGACTAGATTGCTATTGTTATTGTGTTTCTTTTAGAACAAAAAACCTTCTATATATAGAGTTCTAGGACTTAGAATGGATATTGTAGAGTTCTTTTCCACAAGAAAATCTTTTCTACCAAGAAATTCTTTTTTGATTAAAACATAATTATGTAGAATCCAAATAAGAAATTCACGGTAAATTCTAACAAATCTCTTCTTGACCTGAATTTTTTGCCAAAATAATCTTGATCCTCATTTATAAGATTTACATTATTATGAATAAGATAAAATCTACGTATACTTTCTTCTTTCTTCAAATTCCACTAATTATATAATTATACTAAATATATTATTATCGTATCATTAATATTGGATAGTCACTAGTTCAACAAGTGCTGGACTCATATTAAGGTCATACATATAGGTACTCATTATATACTTTAATTCTAGGACTGTACTGTGCAATATGAACAGAAGGGGACTCAGACAATTTATTGGTTTGTCCTTGCTCTCCTTCTTATAATTAATTCATTTTTCTTTCTTTAGTTACTAAGATGTTTTAAATTAGACATATTCGTTTTACCCTAAAGAAATCTTGAACAATAAAAAAACACTATATTTATACAATATTGGGGGGCAATTAAAAATTGTGGCCAAAAGTCACCAACACTTGTATAAAACTATACAATATTTTAGTGAATTAGTATATAACACTACAAAAATACTATAAAATAAAAAAATTTAACCTTCAATGGATTTCCTTGAATATTCACTTCTTTTCATGTTAATGTATTGTTTAGCTTATTCTATATGGTTCATCATATATAGATTAATTTTTATTCTCTACATGCAGTTACATCTATTTTTATATTCTCTTGCTTGGGTCGAGTGACACGTAATTTCTTGCTGAGTTTCTTATTCAAACGATCATTTTTAAGAAAATCAATGTTTTTATATAGTTCATATCACTATTAAAATAATGTCAAAAAATCAATTTTAGAAAGTTATCTCAAATTCGTATTTATCATTTAGTACGTTATATTTTTATAACTAGATAAGTTATAACTGTTATTATTCTTTGATAAAAAGAAATTCAAAAAGAGAAAGCATAAGTCTCATGTTTACAACATATTAACACTTGACAATACTTGGATTGAGGAACAAAGTTTACAGAAATATTCACACGATTATGAAATGTCCTTAAAATGAAGAGTTGTTTGTAATAATTCTAACAAACAAATTCCAACTTTCACACCTCTAGAGATGATGATGTTTTTCCTCAAGATCTGGGAGATCCATCTTTCATTCAACCTGGTTGAAAACGTATAAGACACTTCCGAACCTTCAAAAAAAAATTCCACAAGCTCTAAAAGATGTATCTTTCATCCAACCTGTCTGGAAATTTCCAGAAGCTCACACTTATTATAAAAGAAGAGAAATATAAATATAAGTAGAGAAAATGCTTTCATAATAATCATTTAATACCTATATAGGAACCGAATCCTAGTAGCTACCCGATATTATTATATTACCACCTGAGAGCATTCCTTTACAAAGCACAATTGAGAACTGGAGATCCTTCACCTAAAAATCAAATGACAATTGAATATTGTTTATGTATTTGCCCTTTAACAAATTAGCTTCATCTTATTGAGGCTATTAGCTTATTTTCTTGTATGGATTTCAAAGAGAAGCAATAAAAATAATAGTTAATCTGACTGTGGGAAAAGGCAACCCAAAATAAAACAAGGAAGAGAAAAAGCATTAAGTAGCTGAGCAAAGTCGAAGGTAAGCAGCTTCCAATATTTTCCAAATCTTTTGTAACCGAAGAAGAATAAAGGACTCTTTCGAGGCTATGAACAATTAGGCATCACTCTCAGAGAGCAAGATGGTTAGCCTCTCTATTAGATAAGAAATGATGGACTAAGCAACAAAGATAAAGATAGAAGAAAGAATTAGTAATGAAAAGAGCAAAGCAAACAAAAACGAAAGAAGAAGGTGAGTAAATATTTGGTCTAGATTTCCAACTGGAGCTGTGTGAGACAGATGAATTACATGAAAAATTTTGGACACGTAGCAAAAAATAAGACAGCTGGAATCACTTAAAGAATCATCCACAAGCCAAAATGACGGTACTACCCTCCGAATGTTGATTCCGTCGGACTGAGGAAACTCTCACTTATCTAGAATGTGAGATATAGTTGAATGGTCACTTCTAAATAAAGGGGCCAATAATTTTCAACAACGTGTACACACATTAAATGTCTAACTCATCAAGTAACTATCCTAGGCTCTTTAAATTGGGTTCCAATTAAAATTGTGGCCAAAATTCACCAACATATTATAGAACTCTACAAGACTTTAGTGAATTAGTATACAATTTTAAAAAAAAAAAATTAGTATACACCACCAAAACTAGTATCAATATGGATTTCCTTGAATATTCTCTTCTTTTCTTGTTGATTTTTTGTTTTACTTATTCTATATGGTTCATCATATATAGAAGGACAAAAACATCAGCACCAACAAATTGGCCAATCCTTAGGGAGTTGCCTGCGGTTATTTGGAATATTCATCGTGGTCATGCATATATGACTGAAGTTCTTATAGAATATGGCGGTACGTATGAGTTCAAAGGTCCTATTTTTACAAATATGGACATGTTTTTTACTTGCGATCCTGCAAATATACATTATATCTTTAGTAAAAACTTTTCAAACTATCCAAAAGGACCTGAATTTCGTAAGATTTTTGATATTTTGGGAAATGGGATATTCAATGTTGATCATGAATTATGGGATCTTCATAGGAAGACCACAATGTCTATAATGAGTCATGCAAATTTCCAAACATTGTTAGAAAGGACCTTGTGGGACATAATTGAAAAAGGGCTTAAACCAATTCTTGATGCTTTTGCAAAACAAGGCAAAACATTGGATTTGCAAGATGTTTTGCAAAGATTTACATTTGATGCCATCACTAAATTGTTACTTGATCATGATCCAAGAAGCTTGTCAATTGACTTACCTTATTTACCATATGAAAAGGCATTTGGTGATGCTCTTGATGCACTTTTACATAGACACATAACACCAAAATGTCTATGGAAATTGCAACAATGGCTTAGAATTGGTAAAGAGAAGAAGCTCATGCAAGCATGTGAGGCTTTTGATCAATTCATATATCCTTGCATAGCGCGAAAACAAGAAGAGTTGATGCATAAAACTACAATCAAAGATGAGGAATTTGCATTTTTAAACGCATACATCAAAATGTACAATCAATGGAATGGTGGTGATTTGGGTACTTTGCAAACATTTCTAAGGGATACTTTCTTGAATTTGATGTTTGCTGGTAGAGACACCACAAGTGCAGCTCTCACTTGGTTTTTTGTCCTCTTGGCTAAAAATCCCTTAGTAGAGAAAAAGATTAGAGAAGAGATTCAACAACAATTGCATGTAAAAGAAGACGAAAACCTCAAGTTTTTCACCAAAGAAGAATCAAGAAAATTGATTTATCTACATGGTGCTTTGTGTGAAACTCTTAGGTTATTTCCATCCGTCTCTTTAGAGCACAAAGTTCCACTTGATCATGACATCCTTCCAAGCGGTCATCGTGTTAGTCCAAAAACAAGAATGATTCTACCATTCTATGTGATGGGGAGAATGGAGACTCTGTGGGGGAAAGATTGTCTAGAGTTCAAGCCAGAAAGATGGATTTCTGAACGTGGAGGGATCAAACATGAGCCATCTTTCAAATTTCCAGCGTTTAACGCGGGCCCAAGGACTTGTTTAGGAAAAGAAATGGCATTTGTTCAGATGAAAATTGTGGTAGCTATCATCATACACAATTACAATATCCAAGTAATGGAACCAGAAAATGTTTATCCTACTACTTCAATTATCATGCAAGTGAAAAATGGTCTAATGGTTAAAGTTGTAAAAAAGGTATAATTAAACACGTGTGTTTATGTCTTTTATATATTTTTCTTCTTATGTATGTGGGGCAAATCTTTAGCTCTTTTGAGAAAATCCAAATAAAGTTTGTTTTCTTTCTAATAATTCAAATGTTTGATTACATGTTTCTGAACATGATACAAGACCCTTTACTTCTTACTCCCTCCGTCCCTATTTACTTGTCCATATTTCTTCTTTTAGATATCCCTATTTACTTGTCCATTTTGACAAATCAAGAAAGGACAAAAAAAATTTTCCTATTATACCCTTATTTAAACTTCCCCCAACATTGATTAGTTATCTTGAATAAATTTATTTTGGAATCATAATTAATAAGGGAAAAATTGTAACTTCACTATGTTAATCATTGTTGCCTTAATATGTGTGTTGTTGACACCCAATTTTGACCGACCTTTAACAATTTTTGAAATGCTATCCGATTAAATACGCTTTTTAAAATATATTTTTTGAGTTCTAATTTTTAGTTGATTTTGTCTAAAATTGTACATTTTAGTATGTGTACTTTATAAAATTATCATTAAGATATTTTGTAGTATTATAATTGAATAGCATTTCTTGATTTTTCCTCAAAATCATTTAAATTTTAGCCCATTTTATTCTAATTCATTCCAATTCTAGCCTATTCAATTTAAATTTTTATTATAGCCACTTTTCATTTCAATTTTAGCCACTCAAATTCAATTCAACCTGATTTTAAAACTTTCATCTTTTAATCTCAACCGTCTATTTTTTTAATCAAAACCTAAGATCAAATCCTATCCCCTCATCTCTTTAAATCAAGGGTCCAAATTCATCCTTCCTATTTTTATCCACTAAAGACTCCAAACCCTAAAACATTTGCTTGATTATTGAAGCAGCAGCAGCCCCTCCTCTCTATGCTCTCCGGCGAGATCACCACCACTCGTTGGTGGCAGCCGCCCATCTCTCCCCCTCTTCGTTGCTCCCCTCTCTCTCCCTTCTTCCCCACCTCTCTCCGTCCACCTCCTCACTCTCCTTTGGCGGACGAAGCGAGCAGCAAAAGCTGCTGTCCGACCAGCAGCTCCAAGAGGCGAGCAGCAGCGAAGGCCAGCTCCAGCGAGCCACCAGCAAGCAGCAGCGATGGCGAAACAGAGAGTAACAGCAGCGCCACCAGTCGCCTGCTTCTCCGGCGGAAACAGCAGCTCCAACCGGCAGGAACCGCCAGCAGCCAGGCGAGACCACCATCAGCAACCACTGGACAGCAGCTCCAGCCGGCAACAATAACAGCAACAGCTGCGACCAGGCAGCAGTTCCGACTCCACCAACCAATAACAACAACAACTCCGACAACTTAAACAAGGCAGTAAGGGCTTCGATATTTGTTTGAGGTTCGAGTCTGCTAACAATAGATCTATTTAGATCTGTCCGGGTTCGTTCTCTTAATTTGATTATATGTTCCCTCAATTTGATTATAAAAATATTATCTTGCATGCTTGTGTTATTATGAAATTTATCTTTTTTTTCTCAAGCATGAATCGGTTACTTTGCGATTTCTGATAGTATGAGTTGTTAAGATTTGCTAATTTTCTGAAGTCTCCCTTCTATTTGAAACTTAGTCCGAATTCGAATTGTTTTAAAATTTTCTGTTAAAATCTCAACTATCCCTGTAATATGCTTTGCATTCAAGTTGGTTGTTCTTAAGTTAATTTTGTTAAGATTCGATAATAGAATTTGCTCCTTAATTATTGTAATTAGTGTTGAAAAAAAAAGTGATTGTCTACTTATTGATCCTCTTATTGTTTAAATTTCCTTTATTTATGGTAATAAAATAAAAGATTCTTGCTACAAACTATCTAAAATTAGCCTGTACTGTAATTTGCTTGATTGATTTTTGCATAATATTTTGATTATTTGTTGCTAAAGTGAATCCGGACAGATTTTGTGGCTCTTGAGGTAAGGTAAATTCTCCTTATTATTTATTTACTAATGTTAATTGATTGTTGTTACCTTAATTAAAGTTGAATTTGATTCTTACTGGCGATATTTTGGTAAGGGTAATGTCATTAAAGGTAAAAAGATTTTTTTGTTGATTTTAGTTTAGTTTAAGGAAAGAATGTCTCTAATTGCTCCAAGTTATTTCTTTTCCTTTTATGTTGTGCCCTCTCTTTAGTATATAAATGAGGCTCATAATTCCTTGTAACAGACGGTTGATCACACACCTCTACACACTCCCACATCTACTTTGCTCTTACTTTGAATACAAAATATATACATGTTGCTCGCTGCTCTTTAAAATAGGATGAAGTTTTTCGATAAACATTAAAGCTTCTCTATACTTGCTATTCTGCTGTGTACGGGTCGAAAGTTGGATTAAGGGGTCTTCATTGCTGATATTTCTTGTCTGCCTAATTGGTTAGTAATCTTATTTAACGTTCATATTATTTTGCATCCATACCTCTATGTAAGTTTGTAATGGTAAAAGAAGCATCCGGTTAGCTCTCTTTCCTCTTTTTTACATGTGATGTATGTGCGTGATATCATATTCAGTGTTTGCTATTTATTTGAGTAATTCGTTGCTTGAGTTAATCTTACTATGTCCTTTTGCGCGTCTCCATTAAAAGGAATAATATTAAGTACCCCTTCTATTATATTTGTGTTGTATTGTTTTCTTTGTTTAGCAGGGGTTTTGAACATTGAGTTTAAGTGTTGAAGAGTCCCCTAAGATGGGTTCCAGACAAGATTTAATTTTATTTATTATAGTTGTATTGCTTCAATTTTATTCGGTCTTATAATAACTTGTAAACTCTAACTCAATATATGATATGTATTTGGGGGATCGTCTAAGGGGGGAGTGAAATTACGTGCTAACTGCCTTTTTTTATTTGTTTCGTTTCATATTCATAATAGGTGTGGTTGTAAAAATGGTAATTTAGGCAAGCGCATTAGAATATAGCTTAAAATAAGTGGTTTAAAATCAATCTTTATTTGTAACTTTATCCGGTCAATCAACTTAATATAAATATATGTCATACTTTTGACTTTTAGAATCTCGCCTCTGCTTGCTAATATTGTTAAAGTGTGGAAAATTGACTAATAATTAGACATCATGCCTATAGGTCTCCGAGTAATATTATATCTTATATAGCATTTACGTATATAGGTTTGGTGTTAAGTATCTGCATGTCAAATAAAATGACCGTAAGCGTCTAAAATTAGTTTGTCATTAGAAATCATGTCCGTAGGACTTAACTAATATAATCAATGATTATTAGTCAGGCTAAATAATCTCAGCATGTTTTAATATCTTAATCCTGTTAACTAATCAATTCTAATTAGCTTTAAGCTGCTAATAAAAGTGAAGCACGTTAATCGGCTAGTTTAAATTTTTTAGCATGTTTCAATCACCTAGGTATTACGTCTATAGACTGCTAATAATCTTTTAACATGTTAAAATTGAAACAAATCTGACATGCTTGTTTACTGCCTACTGTTGAATAAATTTCTGCAATGCAATTGTTTCTGCCACTCAAACAAAATCAACTAAGTTTCAGCATGTTTAACAACCTAAGCTTTCTTAGTTTATTAATCAAGTTCTAATCAATCTTAATTTGTTGATAAAAATGCAGCATGCTAATCACTTAGGAGCTATGCATGTAGATTGTAGATTTGATTCAGTTAAAGTAGTATGCCTATAGGTGCTATGCAATTTTTAATTCTTTAATCACTTAGAAATCATGTATATAGGTTTATAAATCCGATTTTCAGCATGTTAATTAATTAAATAGCATTTCGTTATAAACTTTCGCCACTGTTTAATAGCATAATTGTTTTCTGGCCACTTAGAATAAACATTAATAATCAGTTATTGCTTTTAAATATTGTGCCCATACATCCCTATTTAAACTAATCTGTCTTGATAAAATCAGCTACTAATAATTTACCGCATCTGCTACGTGCTACCCTAATTCAACTCTGCTTCAAATATTAACTTCTGCATAATAATTTCGCCACTTTGAATCAATTACTGATTATTTCCTGCATCTAATAAACTGATTGCTACTTAAAGTAATTTTTCGTGTTAATAATAAGATCTGCTACTGTTTTAAAATAATTCTGCATGTATCATCACTTTCTGCTATATTTTAAAATCAAATAAAAAAAAGATATGTTGCGTCATAATATTTCTGCCCTTTTAAAATCCGTTAATAAGCTAAAATCTGCTACTGTAACAACTTTATGCTCCCCCATTTAAATAATTATGTTGTCAATGTTTGTTTTTGTATGCACACACTTAGCATGAAACCTTTCACTTTATGTGTGTTTGCTAGCATATTTAAATTAAAATCTAGAGGCCAATATGAGACCCTACGTGCTAAATGCTCGTCCAAATTGTTTGACTTGGTGTCTAGGTGGGCCTATTATATTTTATTTTGTCTAAACCTTCCTAATAGCAGTCCAATGCCTCTTGGACCTTACGTGGGGACGCTAGACACCTTTTAGAGACGAAAGCATGTGGTGGTGGGGTAGGGGTAGTTTAGGCCCTATGGATATGATGACATCGACTCAGTCTAAATGACAAACTTTGGTTTTGTCTGTCCTTACGAGAAACCGACCGAAATAAAGAAAGTCGAGTGCTGATCCTAAAGTCCTTCAGAGTCTCCCTTTCCTTTGTCCCTTTATTTGTTTATAATAATTATATTTATTTGGGGTAGTTTAATAAAAATAAAAAGTGTTTATTCTATCTAATTGTGCAAATTTCTCTCCCCTCGCTTATCTCTTTATTTAATGTGTAATATTTATTTATTATGTCATCACTTAGTATCGCATGCCTAATTAACTAAAATAATTAAAGTGCCCTTAATTGCTTAGTATTGTTATCACCTAGTTTTTGCATGCTTAATTTATTAAATTAATAAATAAATTGGCCTTAATTGTTCAATATTATTCATCACTTAGAAACCATGCTAATTCAATAAATAATAAATGAAGTGACCTTAATTGCTACTTGTAACCCCCACATATTGCATGAGACACGGCCGGGACCCACATTTGTGGACCTCGAGGGATGCCTAACACCTTCCCCTCGAGGTAATTTGAACCCTTACCCTGATCTCTGGTTCGTTGACCTTAGCTAGACTTAGTTAGGTTAGATAGGTGCCCTAACGCGCCTTAATTCGTTAGGTGGCGACTCTTCATCACCCAAAGCCCAAAAGAGTTGTTAGGTCGTGCACCAAAGTCCGTTTTGAGAAAAATGGGGCGCGACAGATGGCTCATGTTTGATCCCTCCACGTTCAGAAATCCATCTCTCTGGCTTGAATTCTAAGCAATATTTTCCCCATATACTTTCCATTCTCCCCATCATATAGAACGATAGCACAACTCTCGTGTTTGGACTAACATGGTGACCGCTCGGAAGAATGTCAAATTCAAGTGGAAGTTTATGCTCAATTGCAACTGATGGAAAGAACCTCAGGGTTTCACACAAAGCACCATGTAGATAGACTAGTTTTCTTGCTTCTTCTATTTCGAAAAACTTGAGATTTTCGCCCTCTTTTAGATTGAATTGTTGTTGAATCTCTTCTCTAATCTTTTTCTCTACTAAGGGATTTTCAGCTAAGAGCCAAAAAAACCAAGTGAGAGCTGCACTTGTGGTGTCTCTACCAGCAAGCATCAAACTCAAGAAAGTGTCCCTTAGAAATGTTTGCAAAGTACCCAAATCACCATCTTTCCATTGATTATACATTTTGATGTACGCGTTTAAAAACGTGAATTCCTCGTCTTTGATTGTACTTTGATGCAGCAATTCTTCTTGCTTCCGCGAAATGCAAGGATATAAGAACTGATCAAAAGCTTCCCACGCTTGAATGAGCTTCTTTTCTCTACCAATTTGAAGCCATTTTTGCAATTTCCAGCAACTTTCTGGCAAGAGATGTCTGTAAAGAAGTGCATCCACAGTGTCGTTGAACGCCTTTTCGCATGGCACATGAGGTAAGCCAATAGACAAACTTTTCGGATCATGATCAAGTAACAATTTGCTGATAGCATCAAAAGTGAATCTCTGGAAAATATCTTGCAAATCAAACAGGGTGTCCTGTTCAGCAAAAGCATCAAGAATCGGTCGGAGCCTGTTTTCGATAATGTTCCACATGTTCCTCTCCAACAAAGTTTGGAACTTGGCATGATTCATTAAGGACATGGTGGTCTTCCTATGCATCTCCCATAGCTCATAATCAACACTGAACATTCCATTTCCTAACATATCGAAAATTTTACGAAACTCAACACCCTTTGGATAGTTTGAGAAGTTTTTACTGAGGATATGATGGATATTTGCAGGATCACTAGTAAGTAACATGTTCAAGTTGGCAAGAACAGGACCATGAAACTCAAAAGTTCCCTTAGTTTCTATAAGAGCATCAGTTACAAATTCATGGACACGATGAGCATTTCGAATAAGCCCAGGCAACATTCCAACTAGTGGCCAATTTGTTGGCACTGAGCTTGATTTCCACCATCTATTACTAAGGTACCACCATGTAGAATAAGTAAAACACATGATGATAACCAAGAGAGGGAGAGAAAGTTCAAGGACATACATTTCTTTGGAGATGGAGAGAAGGACTTGTTTAAGTTGAGGATTAGTTCTTTCAACTTCACTTGTGGTGTCTCTACCAGCAAGCATCAAATTCAAGAAAGTGTCCCTTAGAAATGTTTGCAATGTACCCAAATCACCATCTTTCCATTGATTGTACATTTTGATGTACGCGTTTAAAAATGTAAATTCCTCGTCTTTGATTGTACTTTTCTGCATCAACTCTTCTTGTTTCCGCGAAATGCAAGGATATAAGAACTGATCAAAAGCTTCCCACGCTTGAATTAACTGCTTTTCCTTACCAATTCGAAGCCATTTTTGCAATTTCCAGCAGCCTTCTGGCAAGATGTGTCTGTACATAAGTGCATCCATAACATCGTTGAACGCCTTTTCACATGGCACATGAGGTAAATCAATAGACAAACTTTTGGGATCATAGTCAAGTAACAGTTTGCTGATAGCATCAAAAGTGAATCTCTGGAAAATATCTTGCAAATCAAACAGGGTGTCCTGTTCAGCAAAAGTATCAAGAATAGGTCGGAGCCCATTTTCGATAATGTCCCACAGGTTCCTCTCCAGAAAAGTTTGGAACTTGGCATGACTCATTAGGACATGGTGGTCTTCCTATGAATCTCCCATAGCTCATAATCAACATTGAAGATCCCATTTCCCAAAATATCGAAAATTTTACGGAACTCAACACCCTTTGGATAGTTTGAGAAATTTTTACTAAGGATATGGTGGATATTTGCAGGATCACTAGTAGCTAACATGTTCAAGTTGGCAAGAACAGGACCATGAAACTCAAAAGTTCCCTTAGTTTCTACAAGAACATCAGTTGCAAATTCATGGACACGATGCACATTTCGAATAAGCCCAGGCAACATTCCAACAAGAGGCCAATTTGTTGGCACTGAGCTTGATTTCCACCATCTATTACTAAGGTACCACCATGTAGAATAAGTAAAACACATGATGATAACCAAGAGAGAAAGAAAATATTCAATGACATACATTTCTTTGGTGATGGAGAGAAGGGACTTGTTTAAGTTGAGGATTAGTTCTTTCAACTTCACACTTTATAAAGATAATTGAGTAAAGAAGACCAGAAAAGGGAAGGCATTTGAGTTAGGCATTTACAAAAGATCACTATCTTGGCCTCCCACACTTAGTTGGGCGGACTCTTCACTTTTGATGCCGCACCCGTGTCGTGCTCCAAAAACACATTACTTTTGATGAATCTGACACGCACATGTCGACATTTTTGAATAGTCCGAGCAACATAGTTCCCACATGAGTTGCTAAGCACAATTGCCAATGCCAGCAAGTTAAGATTGATAAGGATGTGAGAATCTGACAGGGTCCATACTTAGATGATAAGTTAGATATGGTACCATTTTGTCATATTATTATTAGTTGTCTCAGCAACAGTCTGGTGGAATTCATTGAATCTGTCCTACCTTAGAGACTTCTAGTCAATACCTAGAAACGAAAAAACTTCTACTAGGAAGCATTGACTCTCTAGACGAGATTGTTTTACGGTTCTAGAAGACCCTGAACAAGAATAGGCAAAGATGTCATATCTTTGAACCGGAAGAGATTGTTCAGGATGAGTATTTGGGTAACAACGCCGAGGAGTGTAACCAATAAACCTTCAATTTTTCTTCATACATATTTCCATCATCTCAAAGTTAATATTTAATAGTTGTTCTGTTGTCCATGGATTGAAAGCTAATTGAAACCACAAGACAAATTATTCTTTGCTAGAATGGAATACCAAAAGCTTCAACTGTTTGTAAATTAATATGAATGAACCATCTGCAGAAATATTTTACCAATAAGTATATTGTGAGTTGCTATGTTGTCACTAAAGGCTTTCCACCCCTTCATGATATTTCTCCACACCACATCCCCCTTCAAAAACTCCATATTTGTCCGCTATCGCCCCTCTCCATAATGGTTCTCCCTCCACTCCAAATCTCCACAACCATTTACCCAAAAATGCTTTGTTAAAGACCTTCATGTCTTTAACCCAAATCCTCCCCCACCATTTAGGAGATGTCACGGTCTCTCATCGAACTAAGTGAAATTTCTTTGCACCATCCTGTTGCGTCCCAAAGAAAATTTCTTTGCAGCCTTTCCAACTTTACTACTACAGAGATTGGATCATTCAACAAGGACATGCAATAAGTAGGGATACTCGATAATGTGCTCTTATGAGCACTTCTTTCCTTCCTTTGGACAATTATATTTTCTTCAACCTGCTAACCTCCCGGAGCACGTTTTTATATACAATTAAAGTTGACACATTAGAACTATTTTACTCTAGACAATGTTAGTTGCTAATAGAATTTGTTTAACCAGTCCAATATTTTATGACATCTTTGCCTCTGGCACAGATTTATTATCACACCTATAGGAGTGAGTAATTTGGTTAGATTTACAATCACCAGAATACCACTAAGAGCTCATCACTGCAACTATACATAACCTAATCTATAAAATGATGCATTTGAACAACCCTGTATAGGCTGATCCAGGTGTTACAATCAATTAAGGTGGCGTTGGAATGAGACAAGTGCGTGAGATGCTAAAGAAACAGAGAAACAAAAACCGAAGAAAGCCATGTATACGTCAATATTGTTCCACCAATATTCTAGCATTGTTCACACATTTAGTATCGATTGGACATAAGAGGAACCCTTTTCACGAGTCTAACTTTCAGACCATGTTTCATTTGAATGATAATAGAAGCATTTGGAGAAATTATTTGATCTTCCCCTAATTGGATATGATAATTGTATATGATGGTAGCTGCCACTATTTTCATCTGAATGAATGCCATTTCCTTACCTATACAAGTCCTTGGACCTGCATTAAAGGCCGGGAATTTGAAAGATGGCTCATGTTTGATCCCTCCTCGTTTAGAAATCCATCTCTCTGGCTTGAATTCTAAGCAATCTTCCCCCCATATACTTTCCATTCTCCCCATTGTATAGAGTGATAGCACAACTCTCGTGTTTGGACTAACATGGTGACCGCTCGGAAGAATGTCAAAGTCATGTGGAAGTTTGTGCTCAATTGCAACTGATGGAAAGAGCCTCAGGGTTTCACACAAAGCACCATGTAGGTAGACTAGTTTTCTTGTTTCTTGTATGCTGAAAAAGTTGAGATTTTCATCTTGTTTTAGATTGAATTGTTGTTGAATCTCTTCTCTAATCCTTTTCTCTACTAAGGGATTTTTAGCTAAGAGCCAAAAAAACCAAGTGAGAGCTGCACTTGTGGTGTCTCTACCAGCAAGCATCAAACTCAAGAAAGTGTCCCTTAGAAATGTTTGCAAAGTACCCAAATCACCATCTTTCCATTGATTATACATTTTGATGTACGCGTTTAAAAACGTGAATTCCTCGTCTTTGATTGTACTTTGATGCAGCAATTCTTCTTGCTTCCGCGAAATGCAAGGATATAAGAACTGATCAAAAGCTTCCCACGCTTGAATGAGCTTCTTTTCTCTACCAATTTGAAGCCATTTTTGCAATTTCCAGCAACTTTCTGGCAAGAGATGTCTGTAAAGAAGTGCATCCACAGTGTCGTTGAACGCCTTTTCGCATGGCACATGAGGTAAGCCAATAGACAAACTTTTCGGATCATGATCAAGTAACAATTTGCTGATAGCATCAAAAGTGAATCTCTGGAAAATATCTTGCAAATCAAACAGGGTGTCCTGTTCAGCAAAAGCATCAAGAATCGGTCGGAGCCTGTTTTCGATAATGTTCCACATGTTCCTCTCCAACAAAGTTTGGAACTTGGCATGATTCATTAAGGACATGGTGGTCTTCCTATGCATCTCCCATAGCTCATAATCAACATTGAACATCCCATTTCCTAATATATCGAAAATTTTACGGAACTCAACACCCTTTGGATAGTTTGAGAAATTTTTACTAAGGATATAGTGGATATTTGCAGGATCACTAGTAACTAACATGTTCAAGTTTGCAAGAACAGGGCCATGAAACTCAAAAGTTCCCTTAGTTTCTACAAGAATATCAGTTGCAAATTCATGGACACGGTGAGCATTTCGAATAAGCCCAGGCAACATTCCAACTACTGGCCAATTTGTTGGCATTGAACTTAATTTCCACCATCTATTACTAAGGTACCACCATGTAGAATAAGTAAAACACATGATGATAATCAAGAGAGGAAGAAAAAATTCAAGGACATCCATTTCTTTCTCAAACAAAGAAAGGAATTTGAGATGGAGAGAGGAAACTTATTTAAGTTCAGGATTAGTTCTTTCAACTTCACATTTTGTAATGAGAATTGAGTAAAAAAAGACCAGCAAAACGAAAGGCATGGCCTCATATTTTATTTTATTTTTTTGATAACCGTGGTATCCGGATCAGCTTTCGTGCACCTCGCTAATTCCACAAGACACCTGTCACCTTCCACTGGCAACCAAGGCTAGGCAGATAGGAAGAATCACTTAGTCATATATCATATACATATATATATATATATATATATATATATATATATATATATATATAAATAAGAGAACCTTAGGCCCGCCTACGTGACGCCACCACAAACCAGAATTCTCTTTTAATTTATTTATTTCCAAACCTAGCCTTCCCCTTTCATGAAAAGTTGCGACTGACACCATTGCTTATGTTACAGATCCTGGTATATATTTTTACAGTCATTAATTTATACTTATATTATTATGGATAAATGATAAGATGTTACAATTTTCATTTTCCTTTACATTATTAATGTTTTGTTATTACGTAATCTTGTATGTAAGACAATAAAATGTTTTAGTTTTAATGACTGATAAGTTTTAAGTATTATTTTATAAATTTCATAATATTAAATTCCCGTGCGAAGTGCGGGTTATTTTCCTAGTGAGATTTAAACCTGACACCTACTAGCTCTAAACACTCATAATTGAGTCAAGCATTTTGAAGATCACTATCTTGGACCCTTATATGAGCTGCTAA